GTTGGCTTCTAACATCTATTATCTTTTAACTACTCATTGAAATAAATACATCTTACAGTATTGCTGCTTAGTTTCCTTAAAAAACCCTGATAAAGCTTTTTTTTTTTTGAAATCTAAGCAACAAGATCACTTCTTTCTGTGTTTTTGTTAACACCTTTAGGAACTGCAATAGATGTGTGAGATGGGATATCCCCTTATCAGGGTCACGTGACCTCTTCCCAAGAACGTAATACTCAGACATCCAGGAAAAAAATATTATTTATTATAGCTTCTATTACTTTGTTGAGACTTACAGACCCCCCCCCTTCAGATTTGTACTAGAATTCCTTCCAAAAAGCAAGGTATTTAGTACTTTCCACTCCCCTGCAGCCAATGTGCTTTAAGCAGTTCAATACAACTTCTTATGCTGTGCTATCTCATTCCCCTGTTCCTCCAAAGAAATTGGGAAAGTATCACCTATTCCTGCAAGTTTACTGTCCGTCTTATCTCTTTATGGGCTTTTTGACCTCCACCTTGACAAGAGACAAATGCAAAGAAAGGTTTGGGGATGGGAACTTCTTCATTACCTTCCATGGTAAACAGAAATGCAAAGAATTCCTGTATATATTGTTTTTTTGCTATGATCTTATGTTTCCAAAGAGCTAATTTTATACTGGGATCAGACTCTCTTCTCTGGTATCTTCTTTTGGTATGACTGAAGAAACATTTCTCATTTCTATTTGTAGAAACACAATTACACCACCCACACTACAGTTCTTCATTGGCTCACCTGTTATAAAAAATATGGGGGAGAAAAGCAGTTTAAGAAAAAATACAACTATGTGGTAAGGTTCCTAAATTTATACAGCAAAAAGAAAAAAACCACAGAAAAACGTTTGGCACAATTTTATTTTTTTCTGAATGTTTACATGCACTTCTGCCATCTGCTCAATAAATGTGCTGCACAGATCTGCAGTCACAGCTTAGAGACAACTCCAAGAAAAAGTTACTTAAAGAGGCTCCTGAGAATATCCAGATCTTTCTTTGGAGAAAAATAAGCCAGTGTGTGTGGCTTTCATGCATAATTAGCTACTGAAGCGACAGGGAAATTAAGAGTTTCGCTTGGAAGCAAAGGCAGAGGATGGAGAAGCAGCTCTTTTTCTCTTATGTCTTTATGCATCACACTTTAACCACAGAAATTATGTGGATGGATCCTTTGGAAAAATGACATTTTGGAGGTGAGAGCAGTGCTACCAAAGAGTTTTACTGAAATGGACGCTTTTATACCTGAAATGAAATTACCCACGCAGGAAATATAACTGGCACTTTATCTATAATAATACAATAACGCTTCAAATTATTGTTGCTACTTTGAAAAAACTCTCAGAACTTTTCCATTAGCAAGCTGGAGGCAGAATCAGAAAAATTCATCCCAAGTAAAACACAGGCATGAAATTTCGGGGGGGGTTGAAATACCACCACCTGTTGGTGATCACCCACATACCCCCTGTGCCTTGACAAACAACACCGGGCCATTGATTTGCTTCTTCACCTCTTAATGCTAAAAATTGTCTCAGCTGGTGGAAACACCGTTCTAGAGCACAACACCAGATATGTGCCTACGGAGACGAAGAGAAACACGTACTCTTTAGAAATGCGTATGCGAAGTGGGTATTGGTAAAATATTAACAATAATCTCTTCGTGGGTTATACTAACAGGGGGATGATTTTTAAAGGCTGTAAGAATGAGAACAGTAGCGAAAACAGTAGTGAACCGGTTTGGGTTTGTGTGTTTTGTTTTTTTTTTTTCTTTTTTTTTATGGTCTTAAGCTGCGGCAGGGGATGTTTAGGTTGGACATTAGGAAGAACTTCTTCGCAGGAAGCAGAAAGGGTGATTAGATATTGTAATGGGCTGCCCACGGAGGTGTCACTGCCCCTGGAGGTGTTTAAGGAAAGCCTGGACGTGGCACTGAGTGCTGCGGTCTGGTTGACACGCTGGTGTTCGGTCAGAGGTTGGACTCGCTGATTTCAGAGCTCTTTTCCAACCTAAGCAATCCTGAGACTCCGTGATTTTGTGATTTTCTTTTTGTTGCTGTCGTTTTTTAATTTTACGGTTCAGCCGCTCCCCCCACCCCTCAGCCCTGGCCCCGCCCCCTCAGCCCTGGCCCCCGCCTATCGCGCGCACACCTCAGCTTTGCCCGGTCCCCGCCCCCGTCACTAGGGGGCGCTTCCCCGCCGTCGCGCCCAGGGCGCGGAGTTGGGAGCTGCGCTCCTACCTCGCTCGCTCGTGCGCGGCGCCGCGCTCGCGCGCTCGGTTGCTCAGGCCTGCGGTGAGCGGCGCCCGAGGGGCGATGCTCGGAAGCCGCCGCCGCCGCCTGGAAACAGCGGTCCGGCCGCGGTAGAGCGGGTCCGTAGGCGGTTGCCGCGGGCCGTGCCGCGGGCCATGGCGGTTGCGCTCCAGCTTCCGAGGCGCCCCGGCCGGCGGCGCCCGAGGGCTTCCACGGTGCACGGGGTGAGCGGCCGCCGCCGGGCCAAGCGGACGGAGGAGGGCGGGAGAGACCGCGAGGGGCCGCTGGGGCGGGTGCGGGGGCGTCCCGCTCGCCCGCCGGGCCTGCGGGGGCTGAGGCTTCGCGCGCTCCCACCTGTCGGCCCCTCCCGGGAGCTGCCACGCCCGGCAGGGCGGGGCGGCCGCGCCGCTCTCGGTGCCCGCGGATGCCGCGACCCGCCGGGTCCTGGTGCGGGACAGCCCGGGGGAGCCTGCGGGGCTGCTCTGGGGAAATTTGGAGTAGTTTTAAGAGTAGTCTAGCCCTCTCTCTGTCCCTGCTCCCCTCTCTCTCTGCTCCTCTTTCTCCCTGCTTCCTCCTCCCCCTGTTCCCCTCTCCCCCGTTCCCCGCCTTCTCTCCCTTCTCTCCTTGCTCCTCTCCTTCCCTGCTCCTTTTCCCCCTCTCCCCTGCTCCTTTTCCCCCTCTCCCCGCTACTTTCTTCCCCCCTCTACTTGCACCTTTCTTTCCCCCTCTCCCTTCTCCTTTTCCCTCTCTCCCTGCTCCCTTTTCTGTGGATCTTCACAGCATCTTGTCCGGAGGTTAATTCCTGCTCCAGCCTCCCCCCGGCGTTCGATGTATTTGCGAGTTTGTTTTGACTCCTGTATATCCAGCACTGTCTGCACACACACTGGTGTGAATGCGTACCCCGGCGTTTCAGGATAGACAAAGGTGTTGCTGATAACAGCTGCTAAACGAGTTATCATTTCGTTTAGTGGGTGCTCTCCCTCGCTGGAATCAGAGTGGAAGTGTTGTTGCCACGTGCTCCTTTACGCATCATCCCAGTTTATGTTTCTCAGTGTCACGAGGTGTGTTTGGGGTACTGCTGCTCTGTATCTGCTCGTGTCAGTCTCCTGAACTGAGCCTGCTCCGTCAGAAATGAATGTTGGTCCTCCTTTCATGCTGACCGCAGGACACTGCTCAGGTTTCTGTACTGGAGGATGATTTTGGTGACCAGCAGTCTGCAGAAGACAAAGGAATTTCTCTTTTCTCCAGGGAATTCATGCAGCTCTTGATACTGGGTCATTTTGAAAACCAAGTGCAGCAGGATTTTTTGCAGCTCACAGCTCCCTGTGGGAACCTGTGTGGCTCTTAGACACCCGAACACCAACGTCCTGAGCTCTGTAGTAACTTTCACGTGCTTCTTCTTGTGTACATTTTCATCCTGGACATTATGTAACGTGATGGTTTCATTCTAAGGCTTCTTGAACATTACTTAGAATTTGTATGTAAACATTTTTAACCTTTGGTTCAGTATAAAGCTGTCTGTTTGCAGTTTAGGGTTGTGATGAAAGTTAATACTTCCTACTCCAGTTGTGGTTACTGTGCTCAGTCTTGACTGTTTAATAATAAAGCATGATTTTTATTCTTAGTTTTGCTTTAAAAGCTTTTGCTGAAGTAACTATGCTATTATTTTATAACTATAAAACAATAATATATGTAAATATATATAAGTATATATAAAATATAAAGCTATTTTATTGACGTATTTTATAACTTACAGACACTTCTGCCAGCAAAAGCCCCAATACCAATACACTTCATCTATTAAAAAACCCCCAATACAGCAGCTTGGTGCTGTATATATTGTATAGACCAAATATAAGATATGGTAGTTAAACTTTCCTAGCAATGAGCTTCTCAGTTTAGATGATGCCTGGGTTGTAACTTGGTGCTTAAACTTTGAGGTGTGCCTCAGGAGTCAGATATATGAGGTTAAGGGCTGCTGAGATAACAAAAAGTAAAGTTAAAATCAGTGCAAGCTTGTCAGCACGTTTGCAGTGGTTCCTTAACATCCTGTTGCTTTCTTAGTGTACCTTGGAAGTGGGTGGCCTCACAGAATTTGTACATCCTGTGTAGCTCGTGGTGGGGTTTATCTTGGTGTGAATGCATTTTAATAAGTGTTCTCTATATTTATTGCACCTGTCCTGTGACAGCTTGGTTATAATGAAATCGAGATGCTGCAGCTCTTATTTCTTAGGAATCCTTTGTGAGTGGTGGCAGTTTCCTTGACCAGTACCTGTGCTGAGGCAGTGTTTGTAATGTGCTCATCTAAGTGTTCCTGTTCCAGTGGGCTGGAAACTGTGGGAACCCAAGTGTAAATCGTGTTTGTGGAAAAACAGCTCTGCTGTAAGTGGGGATTTCGATGTTCTCAGGCTGTTAGAAGTATGGAAGAAAATCCTGAGGCAGCACTTCGAGAACTAAACCTTTCTCCAAAGTATTCAGTATTTAAATTCCAGGCTGTGAACACTGAATCACAATATTTGTGTTTTCTATGGGGTTAAAAACCTGCTTTTTACAGCTTAATTTGAACACCTGTTGCTCTTAGTTTTATAAAACTTAGTTCACAGTTGTGGATTGCTTCCTGAAATCTGTCATTTGGTATCTTATCTCTGGTTCAACTCAAAAGTAAATATGGAATTGTGTAAAGATTAACACTTTTACTTATGTAACTAGAGATCAGTGTTTAATAATAATAAAATGTATGTTTTTCAGGTTCAAGAAAACTCCCCAGCTCAACAAGGAGGACTGGAACCTTTCTTTGATTTCATCATTGCCATTGGACACACAAGGCTTGTAAGTCTCAAATGATTTTAATGTTGTTTTTTTTTTTCTTCCCTGCATGAACTATGGGTATTGTGTTGATTAAAAAGTAGAAGCCCAAACTGTCACAGTAAAGAAGGCTTTTCACATTGTATGTGGCATTAAAAATAAAGTAAAATTTGCTGGTGTTCAAAGTCTCTTCTCTGGCTGGATCCAAATTTGAGGAAAGGGTCTTATTTATGCCCTTACTCACCTTAACTTCTTAACAGGTTGACACAATGTTTATATTATTACTCACTCCTACGTATTTTTTGCCACAAGGTGAATATTGAACTGGTGAGTCAATAGTAAGAGCTCAACATTTGTTTAAACAAACTTGTTTCAACATTTGATAAAACCTGAAAAGAATCGTAGCCTGTCTACTTATACTTTTGGGACCAAGAACACAATAGGTTGAGCTGTGAGAGAAGAGTTGAGTTCTGGTTTGGTGGGTTTTTTTGGAGTTTGGTTGGGTTTCTTTTGTTTGTTTATTTAACAGGCTCAGAGCTTTGCCTGTATGCTTCACCCTAACCCCATACAAGCTGAATTCCTTAAGTTTGTCTTGCTTTTATGAGCAGAGATGTCTTTTTGGAAGTGCTCGTTGTAATGGTGATTGTGGTGGAAGATCATTTAATCTTTTTAACATGACAGACACGATGATGGTTCTGTCACCTGTTCCCAAATAGTCTGTCCTTTCACAGTCAGTCTGCAGTGACTTTGAAGGGCTCAGAGACATGAAGTGAAATGTTGCTGCTCATTGTTAGACTACACAGTTGACATCTCATGTTGCTGGTATTACTTAATAGCAGTTGTGAAGCATTTCATGCAAGTGATGAAATGGAGTAACAGCAATTACTTATGTAAAGGGACGTGTGCTGACAGCACTGACTGCTTTCTAATAAAAGAAAATTGAACTGCTGGGACTGTTTGTGAACCACAGAGTCTAAACTTTGATGGGTTTGGTTCTTTGTATTCAAATTCTGCCTGAGATGTGGCATATGTTACAGGTGCAGCTGGGAATAATGTTAATCTAATCCTGTATCTCTTTCTGTGCTCTACAGAATAAGGAAAACAATATGTTGAAAGACCTGCTGAAGGCAAATGCTGAGAAAGCAGTGAAGCTGGAGGTGTATAATATCAAAACAATGAAAATAAGAGAGGTGGAGGTGATCCCCAGTAACATGTGGGGAGGACAAGGCCTTCTTGGAGCCAGCGTGAGGTTCTGCAGCTTCCAGGGAGCCAATGAACACGTGTGGCATGTTTTGGTGAGAGAGAATTCTTTGGTGGCTTGTCAGTGTTCATACAACCTTGCTTTACAGTGTAATATTTAGAAGTAACTTTTATGTACAGTGCTGAAATCACACAGAGGAAGGGAGCAGAGTCTTGAAGGTTTGAGCTATTTCAGTAGGGACAAGGAGTAGGTGTCTGTCGGTGTTGCCTGTCGCTGTGACAGAAATAACTCCATCCCAACCAGATCCAATAGTGTAGATGGGAAGGGGTTTTTTTTGTTGAAGAATCAATGTCAAAAGCAAAAGCATTCTGGCCTGATTGGTGTCTCTGTGTTGGCTAAACTCCATTAAATTAATGTTACAAAAAGCACCACAAATTTATTTTAAAATTAGAGGCAGAACTGAAAAGGAAAGACTGTTTGTTATGTTTCTGGTTGTTTAAATAAATGCAACTTCTCCACATCTTTGGAGTCTCTTATTTTAAATTGGTAGCATCTTGGTCTTTCTTATTCAGCACGTTTTACAAGATGTCACACCTAGACGTAGACTATTCAAGGACTTCTGTTTTATCCCATAAACAAAATGTTCTTTCCTTCTGCTGTTTTTGGAGTTAGCTTTCCCTTTTGAGGTGGTTTATCCTGCTGCCCGTGCAGATGACAACTGTCATTCTTTCACAGGATGTTGAACCTGCATCTCCTGCAGCTCTGGCTGGTCTACAGCCCTACACTGACTACGTTGTTGGATCTGATCAGATTCTCCAGGAGGTAGGGTGCATTCCAGTAGGGACTGATTGCCTCTGTGTATGTTCTAGGATTTGTTTTTTCATAAATCTAATTCTGTGTACATCAGCCATATGGGGATGGTGTTTGGGGATTTGGGGAGGTTGGTATTTATGACAGATGCTTTATTGTTGAGGTAAACATTATCTGTCTTTTTAAATGTGACAATAACAAGAAGTTGCCATTAAAGATCAAACTACACCAGTGAGTTTTCTGGCTCTGGGTTTTTAATGTCTCATGTTGAAGTAAATAACTACGTAAAATGCTGACTTGCTTCCAGCTCCTTGTCTTGCACATGTGAGTTTATTAACTTTGTCTTTCCTTTTTTTTTTTTTTCTTAGTCAGAGGATTTCTTTTCCCTGATTGAATCCCATGAGGGGAAGCCGCTGAAGCTGATGGTTTATAACACTGAAGCAGATTCCATTCGAGAGGTAGTTGTGACTCCCAATGGAGCTTGGGGTGGAGAAGGAAGGTACTGATCTCTGGACAGTCACTTGAGACAGGTTATATACTTGCTGTAAATGAGATCCTGTTAAGAGTATTATTACTATCAATTGCAGCTTGTTGTTTTCAAGTTAAGCCTTGTTTCCTTACACTTGTCACACAAAACTGTTAATCTCTTCATTAAAAAAAAAAAAGCTTAGAACTAAGAATTGGGCACGTCCTGGATCTAATCCTTTTGAGCTGAATCAAATGGCAAAACCCCTGTGCTGAGTTCCCCATTAGCAGATTCACTGTCTTCATTCTCATAGTCAAACACTGAGCTAAAGCAAGAACCAAACCCACATCAGGTCAGATGATATATTCTGTAAAGATATAAACCCAATCAACTGAAAGCTAAGCTGTGTGTTTTTAAAAGTCAACTGCACAGCGTTCCCTGAGTACTGTAAGTGAAACGACTCTTGCAGGTAGGTATTTCCTGCTATAGATGGAAGACACAAACTCTTCTTGTTGTGAAGAGTCAAAATTTAAAACACTAGTTTTGTTAAGAACAGCCGTTTTTTTAAGTCTTGATTTACTTGTCTTGTACAGCTTAGGATGTGGTATTGGATATGGCTATTTGCACAGAATTCCAACACAATCCATAACATCAAAGAAAAAGCCAGAAAGCAAACCACCTTCACCCTCAATAGAAGCTGGAACTTCTGTACCATCCACTAATGGTTACACAGAGGTAGGTAAGAAATAAATGCCAATCTCTGGCATGTTCTCTGGAGTTTGAAAATGTTCTACTTTTTTGGAACGTCGGTAACACAGTGTATTGGAATACAGTGTTTAATTTTGCTTGAATGAAATGGAGTTGGGTGAAGGGAAAGTGAGAGCTGAGGGTGCTGAGCAGGTGTGAGATCTCCACTGTTGGCTGATACAAATTTTTGCCAGGTATTTTCTTTCTATTTTCAAGACTTGCATGCTCTATACTACAGCTGTACCAGTCAATGAGAATGACATTAAAAGAACACTTACCTCACTAGGAAAAAAACCACCTACAAGAACTGAGCATGGACTGTTCTTCTAAGAACACTTTAAAAGCTGAACTGGAACACTTTGATGTCCTAATTGGTGTTTGGCTTTCAATTTCAGCATCACAGATTCTCTCTGAATTGGTGTATCTGGAAACAGGCAGGATGCTTTCATAGGAAGGTTGGCTTCAGGTGAAGCTTTCAATGTAAAAAGATGTTTTTCCTTCTTACTATCTTATTCCAGACTCCATTGTTGGCACCTACCTCTCAGAGTGAAAGCTCTGAAACAGTCATGAACTTGGATCATTCCAGAGATCAAGAAATGAGTGGTTATTCACCAGAAAGCTCACTTTCTCCTCCTCCCCCTCTCCAGAGAGTTATGGATCCAGGTATATTTTCTTAGGTGCTTTTTCAGCAATTCTTTAGAGGACATCTAAAGAAATGAATATACAAGCTTGAGACTTAAATGTAGAACTGTGAGCATTGGTGGTTGTTTTCCTTGAAATTTTTGACTTCCCTGGATTTCAGAGCTGTAGAATTGAGGTACCACATAAGTTAAGTTTATTTGCATTTAGCAGGGAGGGGACTTCACTGACTTTAGTCTGGATATAACTTGTCTTTTTTAATCTAGAACTTTGTGTTGTATCTAAAAAAGTGATGTAATATTTGCTTTCTCCTTCAGGATTTCTAGATATGTCTGGTATTTCATTTTCTGAGCTCACTAGCTTAACAGAAGTGTCCAGCATGTCCCCATCTGCCTCCTTCAACACGCCAGCAGCAGGTGCTTCCACAGGCCCTGAAAAATTAATGTCAAATGATGAAGCCTCTGAGTATTTTGGTAAGTGCATTAAAGACTTCCTTTATTTCTGGAATTGCACCAACTCATACCCGCTCAACATTTTCACCCTTTCTGGAAATAAGCGAATTTTAATAAAAATCAGAAAGGACAGGCAAAAATCAGATGGAAAAAGTAGCAGAAATCAGGTGTAGAAATGGACAAAAACTAATGGGCTTTTCTTATAAGATTATAGAAAGTGTGTCTTTTTCTTTAAATGAAAACATTGATTAAACTGACTTTAAAAGCAGGTATTTCTAAAAGCAGTGTAAATGAATTTTTGTACCACAGTTGTAAAGCAAACCCGAAGTTTTTTAGTTAGTCATCTTAATATTGTCTTTTTGTGATGGTTGACCCTGGCTGGACACCAGGTGCCCACTAAGTTGCTCTGTCACTCTCTGTCCTCAGCTGGGCAGGGGAGAAAAAATCCAGTGAAAGCCTTATGGGTGGAGAAAAGGGCAGGGAGAGATCCCTCTCCAGGTGCTGTCATGGGCAAAACAGACTCAACTTGGGGAAATTAGTTTAATTTCTTACCAAACAAATCAGAGGAGGATAGCGAGAAATAAACTGAAATCTTAAAAACACTTCCCCTCTCCCACCCCCCCCCCCCTCTTCTTCCTGGGCTCAACTTTACTCACAAATTTTCCATCTCCTCCTGCCAGAGGCACAGGGGACTGGGAATGGGGGCTGCAGTCAGTTCAGGTCTCTGCTGCTCCTTCCTCCCCAGCGGGGGAGCTCCTCACACTCTGCCCTTGCTCCAGCACGGGGTCCTTCCCACAGAGATCCAACTCAGGTCCTTCCCACGGGCTCTAGTTCTTCAGGAACTGTTCCAGCATGAGTCCCTTCTGTGGAGTACAGTCCTTCAGGAACAGACTGCTCCAGCCTGGGTTCCTGTGAGGGGTCCTGCCAGGACCCTGCTCCAGCACAGGCTTCCCCCAGGTCACAGTGTCTGCTGGGCGTCCCCCTGCTCCAGCATGGGCTCCTCCACGGGCTGCAGTGGATCTCTGCTGCTTCCCCACAGCTTCCATGGGCTGCACCAGGGGCTGCAGGGGCATCTCTGCTCTGATGCCTGGGGTACCTCCTGCCCCTCCTTCTGCACTGACCCAGGAGTCTGCAGAGTTGTTTCTCTTGCATATCCTCATTCCTCTCTCTGGCTGCTGTTTTGCAGTGGGAATTTTTCCCCCTTCTTACATACATTATCCCAGAGGTGCTGCCACTGACACTGATGGGCTCGGCCTTGGAGCTTGCTGGCACTGACTCCCTTGGACATGGGGGAACCTTCTGGCAGCTTCTCACAGAAGCCACCCCTGTAGCCCCTTACTACCAAAACCTGGCCATGCAAACCCAACACACTTTTCTGTTTAAAAAAAATAAATATATTCACAGGATGCCCACCTTTCCCTTCCAAAAGGTAGGGTGACTGTAAGAGTTGCAACACAGAATAACAGTAACAGTAAGAACACAACAGACCCAAAGGTTCGTGGTCTTTTAAAAACCTGTGTGCACCATCAGAGTTCCTGGATTTGGGGAGAACAGAGTAAATGCAGCCCATGTATTTGACAGTTGTGAATCCGTTTATGTGCCTGTACAAGGTGTCTCATTCAGGCTGATTTTTCTAGGGTAACCAGGGGTGCTGCTTGTTACCTTGCCAGTTTTTATTTTCTTACAAACCATTTCCATTTCCCAGAACATGCCACAGCTTTGGCCCCTGAAGATATAACCCTGCATTCTGAAGGCTCAGTCAAGCAGCCAGAGCTGGATGACCTACTGCCTTCAATTCCACCTTTACCTTCTTTTCCTCTTCCACATGAAATTTCTTCAAAAACAACTCAAGGAACTGATCCTGATAACCAAGAATTAAAGCTGCTCGTGAACAGCACTGAGAGCTCATTAACCACTGCTCCAGAGAAACCAGAGGAAGAAGCAGCAAGTGAACAGAAAGAAGAAGCAGCTGCACAAGACACCGAGTGAAATGGACCCTGCTTGTGTTTACAGACTGTCAAATGCTGCAGCTTGGAATATTTTTCTGATCTTGAAAGAATTACAGTTACTCTATTTTGTTAGTGTAGACAATACTAGAAAAGAAATCACATGAAGTACATATCTTGTTGTATTTTCCAATCACTGTTTTAATGGATTGATCTGTGTTCAAACTTTGAATGCTGTCCAAAAATCACCAAATTAATGGAGAAATTAATGCAGAAACAAGTTGGACACTGGCAGAATGTCAAGTTCCAGAATTCACGTTTGCCTACAAGTGCTCCTGAATGTATTTATGAAGGCACTGTGCCTGAACAGTGACAGTGATGATTTTATCAGTATGATTGATGGCATTAAAAAAAATATTTATAGTTTTGTTAGAAAGCTTTTCTAATGGTACTCCTTGGGTAGACAGTTCTTGTGACTTGCAAGGCATTTCTCACCCCAGGATACTTTTATTCCTACTTAATACTCCTCAGACTGTTATTTTTCTTGTTTTAAGTCCCTTCTCTGTTAGATACCTTTGCTACAACTACTTCCTCAGTGAAGGAAGTGCCATGTGGTTTGAAGTTGCAGCACAGAGATGGGACAGAGTCATGGTGGGTCCTGTCACTCACTTCTGCTCTTCTGTGGACCAGGGGGTGGCCTCACACTTAAATAAAAAATGAAGCAGAGGAGGGAATGATGACGGTTATTTGAGACAAATGGAAGTGAAAATAATGTTTAAGTTGGGGTGATGAACCTTTTCAGTGGAGCTGAATGTCTTGGCTTCTGTAATGACTGAGAAATAGCTTTTCTTTAGTTGTGCTTTTCTATTTACTCATTTCTATTTTTATACAGATCATTGTAAGTTTAAGACATGGGGCTGTTGTGCAGCAACATCAACTGCTTTTTGTAGCTTTTTTGTTTGCACTTGTCTTCAAATAGACTCTGAATGTAGCAGCAAACATGACATGAGCAATGAAAGGCGTGTGGTTCTGTAACCCTCAGGGCAGTGATTTATCATGGAATGTCAAAGGGATAGGGAATAACACAGTTACTGTGGTGAAACTCCTTCCTGAATTAAGAGATGGGGGGGGTGTTGAAGCTAAACACCGAAGTACATTTATTTAGCACAATATTGCCTGATTTCCTTTTCCCTGCCCTGTCTCCTGCTCTGTTTCTGCACTGTGCAGACCAGTACGTGACAACTGCCAGGGCTGAAATCTGGTACTGAGGCAGGAGGGGGGACTCACAGTCCCACAGATTTGCCTGTGACAGCTCAGCTTCACCTGAAGGGTGCAGGTGAAGTCACACCACAAGAGGTCTTCAGCTAAAATCTGACCTTGGTACTCCTTCATCTCTGTTGTTAGTCTGAAATACTGCAAGTACAGTAGTTCTGAACAGGACTGTCAAAATACCTGTTGCTTTAAAGAATGTATTGAGCCCCAACTGCAGGCAGTAGAACATAGATTTGGACTCTAGTCTGCTAAATGGTCTGTTAATTGCAAACTGGTTTTATTTCCTGTATTGCTAAAATAAATTTCCTCTCTTCTTTCCTCACCTGACTGTTACAGGGGTGAACAGCCAAACACTAAAAATAAATGTAATTTAAACTATTGCTAAGTTTGTTTGGTCTTGGAGCCTGATGACTGAAGACATCTAGGTGATCTATTTATTGATGTTGTTTCTTTAGGACTTGGTTCTAGTCTTCCACCTTTCTCAAAACTGGTTTTAAGCTGGTAGTAGCTCATTTAAATGATGCTGTACCATTAACAGAAATTTAAGAGCAGAGAATGTCAAAACTTGTTCTAGATTTCAAATGTCACCATAATAAATGGCTTAAACTTATGTCAGTCGGTCTGTGTGTTAACTGGTTCTTGGAAGGGGTTTGGAAAACCAAATCCTTAGGGTTAAGCCTCAGGCAGAGGGATGTTGGGTTCTCCTAACCTGAAACTTAATGATTCAAATGCTAAATGAGATGAAGAGTTCAACCTCCTCATCAAATTCCTTTTCTCTTGATAATTTGGATGCTATCTCACTGCTGAAGCCAAGGTAAGTAGGCAGTACTCTTACTTGTGGGTACAGAAGCGAGAAAGATGGTTAGAATTTCTTAGTTTCAAAATAAAACCTGAAAAGAGTTGGAGAAGCACCTGAGAGTGGCAGGATGCAGAGCCAAAAACGAACAGCCAATCAACCTGTGCTGTCCCAAACATCTGTTTCCAGGTAAGGAGGAGCTGGATATGACCTTTCTCCCACTCTGTAAACTTTGAGGGCATCTAAACACAACAGCAGCAGTTCTTCTGCAGACACAAGAAGGACTGTCTTGGCAGCATCACAAGGAGGGCAAAACAAAGGGAGGAGGATCTCACCTTGGAGCACTCAGGGGTTTCTATGGCCAGACACAACAGGATCAGCTTCCAGACCTGAGCTGCTCCCTCATATTAATAGCTGAGCCTGAGGACATGAGTCTGGCAGATGTTTAATCCAAAGAGGCTCCCAGGAGCTCAAGTATTGTAGCAGGGATTAGGCAAAGCCCATCTCCACTGAGCTGTGGTCCTGCCTACCCCAAGGAGCCAGGACACCTGGGATTGACAGGGGCTGATCCTGGATGGGCCCTCCAAGGCTGTGGGACCTCCACCCACCTGGATACTACAACTCTGCTCAAAAAAGGCTGGAGAAACTTGGTCAGGTCCTGCCCCAAGCAAGGTTAACTTGAGCAGGCTGGACCGATCCCTCCCTTCCCAAGGCATTACGTGATTGATGGGAACTTTGGACACCATAACCCTGTACTGGGAATGATAAGGAAATAACCATCCCAGAGATGAACACACAAATCTCACTGTTAACAGCAATATGGATGCTGAACTAATTCTGGTTGAACTTGAATGAGTGAATGGAATGAGTGAATGGATGTATTTACTGTCTTTAAGTTGAACAGCTGCTGTCAAGAACCATTGAAACACCAAATTCAGGCAGTGATGACTTTGTTTTCCCTCTTAAACTTTCACAGCAGGCTTGATAATCTAATGAACCTCCTGCTGTACTGCTCTAGGCTCTGTGCAGAGGCTGCTCATCCAAGTTGCCACACTTGGCATCTCAGAATTTTTCTGAGCTGTAACTCAGAAATGCTGCAGGAAAACAGATCTCTCTAATGCTAAGCAGAGATCACACTGCTCGTGTACCAGTGCGCTCAAACATTTCCAGATGTATTCTCCATCTTCCCCCAAAGCTGGGCAAATATTTTCACCTCCAAGCAGTTTCATAAGAACAGGCACCACTGCCTCTGGCTGTTAAGTGAAAACAGCTACATGTTACTCACTGCACTGATTTGACTGGGTTAACCAGTTCCATTTCCTGGGCACTGCCACTAATGATGACACATCCCCGCTGACTTTTGCCTTAAGCAAACACTAACTTGGCAGTAGTTCTGCTGTAACAGAATTTCAAAGCAATTGTGTAAGTTACATTTCTAAGCTATAAAAAGTAATCAAGCACTCACAGTCCCCCAAAAAGGATGGCTAGAACACTGTCACAATATCCTCAGAGAGAGATCAGGCGTGTCCCACCCAGTCTCTAATCAGTACCTCTGCTCTGCATGATATCTGCACAGCTGTTTACAGAAAAAACCCCACCACAGCAAAGGAAACTTTCAGTCAACCCATATTCTTGACTTTTAAGTGTGCATGTGCTCCCAACAGCTCTGTTATCCAGCTGTGAGGTGACTTCACCCAGCTCTGTTCGGGAGCAACCAGCACAGGTACAGCGTAAGATAATTTTTGAATCAAACATGACCTCTGCAAAAGGAAAAATGATACCTTGGTGTAATGCACTGGTCTCTGTGACAGTCCCTTTGTGCCTTCACCTCTGGCAAATGCATTCTCTCCCCTTCCTTGGCACCTCCACACTAATTCACCTCAGAGTGACTTCACAACCTCTCTGTCTAGGGCCTGTTTTGACTATATTTTAAACCTTTCTAAAAATTAATTCTAAATCCTTCAAGTAGTTCTCTTCCTACAGTGATACTTGCACTTCAGCTGCCAAGTACTGAGCTGAGCTCTTCTGTTCTCAGCACCTCCTCACCTGAAGAAAATAAAAAATTGCCTGTCATAGACAAATTAAATGCTCTTCTAGGAGACAGGTTACACTACTAAGTACTAGATTTGCAACTCCTTCCCACCATGAACTTGGAAATTAAAATAACTTCTACAAATCAATGGCCTTTTCTATGATTCTGGCAAACTGGAACTCTCTCTGTTCACAATGTCCCCAGGAGCTGTGAGTCTCATATGAACTCAAAATTCTCCTGCTTTTGCCTTCAGGACTCTTACAGACAGCACAAGTCCAGAAAAGATGACAGAAATTAAAAGGGAGTAGCAAAAAAACCCCTCCTCTCACTTTATACTCCATCTAAGTCAGATGCTGGGAGTTTCTGGGAGGACATTTGGTCACTGAATTACTGCATTCTCCACCAGAGCAGCCCAGCTGACAATCCCCACGGCAAAAGCTTTGAGTATCCTGTCCTGGCTTTTTCAGCATCAGGAAAACCAGCCTTGGTTTCCCATGTGCCTCTTACAAGGATACAACCTTTCAACATCCAGACAACTCAGCACCAGCTGGCACCAGTCACTTGTTAGCACAAACTACTTTCATGGTACAAAAGCAGCACTGCCCAGGTGAGCAGCATGACTTGAGCACATCTGGCACCTCAACAGGAGCTCAGAGCTCACACTTGAAGGTCTGCACACCTCCTAAATTCTTACCTTCAACCATATTACATGATCATCTTCATGTGATTCTGCTAAGGCACTGCCATTTCTTCAGCCATTCCATTATTTGAGGCTTTGAAGGACTCTGAAGCCCTTTGTAACATTCAATAGCAAAGATCAAAGATCCAAAATTGCATCATTAATCTGGTACACAAAACGACTTGAAAACATTTTAACTAAAGCCTTTTATTCTATACAACTGTGAAACATCATTTACCCTTCTGGCATTGCAGACTCTTCTGTCAATCTTTCCTGTTACTGTGTTTCAGGATGGTTAGAAAGGAAAAAAAAAAAAAAAAAGAAGAAAAATTACAATCTTGGCTGGTTTAAAAGAAAATTTCTGGGACCAACTCCAATGTATACAATAGGACAGGAAGACAATGAGGAAACAAACCCAAACTTAAACAGTGCCTATTGGAATAAGCATAGATCCTTGCTATTAATAAATACAAGTCAGGACAATTTATCAATAGAAGTTACAGTTCTGTTTAACCATTTAATTCACAAGTAGCACTAAAAATGTGCAGTTACAGCACAGTTGTGTCAAACTAAGCACACGCAGAAATGGGGATTAAAAACTGAAACTGACCCTCAAAAGACAGGGAAAACATGCTAGTTTAGTTCTGAACCATGGTTTGTCTCTAAGCAAAGAGTTTGTTTTGATGGGTTTAAGAGTGCAGAAGGGAAGGATTTGACTATTTTTTTCAAATAAAACAGAATGAAAAATATTTTACCTTTTGTTTGACCAATACAATCCCAGTAATATAATTTATTGGGACTTCTTTTTAGGCCTCAACCTAAACCTTGATAGCAAGATACAGGAAGGGCAAGATCATTATGTCTCTTGAAGAGACTCCAATAACATACTGCCCCTTGAAGGCACTTGTGCTTCTGCTTCAGACAAAAGTCATTTCTACACCATTTCTCTACAAGGATTTGTAATTTGTTCTGGCTACAAATGGTTTTCTGGGATATCCCCATATTTTCTCACAAAAAGCTGAAATGCCTTTGCCCCCCTCCCCCCCAATAAGTTAAACCTCTATAAAAGATTACCATGAGCCTATGACAGTCACAGATTTTTAGAAATAGCAGGGAAAACAATATCTGCACAAATCTATAACAAAAGAACAACTGCATATAAAACTTCAGAAAAGAAAAATCAGTATTTTTATCTCATGAACATGAAATCTGCAGAGAAGTTTCTAAAGTTTAACATTAAACATATTAAGTTATATTCAGAATGGTTTGAAGTTTTAACAAAATGTCACATAGTTTTGGAGAACAGTTACCAAAAATTAGACTAGTGTGTCTTTAGAACACCTAGGACACAGCGTAGGAAGTAGTTATATATAATTAAAAAAAAAATCTCTAAGTTGCTGCAAAGCATGTTCACTCTATAATGATGCACAGCATCATTAGACTCACCCTGCTCTGATATTTTTCTAGTGTTCTTATCTTGCACATCAAAAGCTCTCTAAAGCAATTACAAAAATTCTAAAGTTAACCCTTTGTTTACAATTAAATGGGCCAATTAATTCAAGTATGAATTACAATACAATACGTATTTTCTGGGTTTTTTTCTTTTCCAAATTTCTTTTAGTGGCAGAAATGTTTGAGTAACCTGTGAGAAATCATTGCTGGAACTTTATGAATGGAATGTACCAAAAATACCTTCTGTGCAGTTCTGAATTACATTGTGAACACAGCAACTAATATGGCCAAACCAGTTTCATGTCGAGCATGAGCAGATGACTATATTATGTTCTGGAAAAAAAAAAAACAAAAGCAAAAAGGAGGAAGCAAAAGTCTGCACTGGGTTATCATCCACTCTCTGTACACCTCACACAACATGAACCACTCAGGAACTTCCCACCTCACTGACTGAGAGGAGGACAGACTTTAGTTTAAGTCATATGGATTTTTTTTCCTCTATATTACAGATCTATTAGTCACTTCAATTAAATGCATACTTCCCGTCCATACTGAGTCATTAGCAGTCTCATCTACCTTAGGGGTTCAGTGGGCTTCTATAGTACTACTCTTGGAACCAGTACAGTATGGTCAAGTAAATAATGAACCACTTGGGTCCGTGCTCCCCTCACGTTGATTTCTGGCGATAGTGAAGCGTCAGGTCCCCACCGCTCTTCCAAATGAAGTGTTTTACAGTTCGAAGGTCCATGTTCGGATCCAAAACCTAAACCAGCAAAAATTCATCTCTTACTCCACGAATCTGCTAGACTGTCACAAATTCCCAGATAAAACACTCCCATGGGTGAACTGGTACCAAGATGAACCACGCAAAGGCTCAGATTTTTCAACCAGCAAGTAAACCTGAAAGGTTTTAGCAATGTAACATGTGACTTCGTACCACAACCACCTCCCCAATACTTAATCTTCATGCACCTAAATTTATCATTTTTGACAAATTTTGAACACTGCTAAAAATGTAGAGTTCCAAGTATTACAAAAAACCAAAGAACCAAACAGAATTCTGCAATTGTATTAAGTCCATTTGTTGAGTATGTAACCCTGCAAAAGCCACTAGTCAGACCAAATTAAACAGGCTCACCACAGCAATTCTTTGTTCTGGCTATCTGCAAATGTCTGAACTTGTGGCAGCTCCAAGTTAACACGATGTCAAAACATTTCCTTAGTTTTAAAGGTAGCAGATAATCTACAGCATATTTCAAGCTCAGGATTCAAAAATTCACAACCTATTCATTGCTAGACATTGGGTTTGATCACAGGCTAAAACACCCAAGGAACTTACCTGGTCCTGGCACAGAAGTTCAATCTTCTCCTCTGCTAGCACAGCGATGTCCTCCTCTTTTTCTTGTTCTCCTGTTTTTTCATTGTTGGAAGAGCTGGTTGTCTGAGACTCATTATCCAAGTTTATGATTTTCTCATACACGTGTTCCATCACTTTCCTCACCTGAAGCATGTCACTTGCTGACAGTCGGTCTCTAGATAAAGTGAGAGAATTTTGTAAGGAAAAAACTTGAGAAATATAATTTCTCACCCTCACAGAAAAAGGGACTCAGAAAAGTGGTAGAGATATTCAAAGGATTAGATTAAAATCAAAGCTTAGATGAAGAGTATTGCACACTATCCTAATTCTTTCAATAGAAAGGCATTAGTAGAAGGTCAGAGGACACAGAATTAGAGAGCTAAGCCAGAAAATGCTGTTCACCCCACTACATTAACCAGAGGACATTCTCCTGTAATAAGCAGCAGCACTTTTTCCACAAAGGACACAAAAAGTCTGTGAAACTCCTCTTTCACAAACAGTCTCTGATGAGAAAAACTCAGTAAAACATATAGAGAAACTAGGTATTTGTGTAAACTACTGAAAATTGCTGGATATAAATGGCAGGCATACTGTCTATGACACTGAGGTCACATCAGAGTTGTTGATTTCTAACCTACACAGCTCCCAGCTACAGCTCATGTCACTGGCAGACTATCCTGCTTTGCCTACTGTCAGGTTTTGTACCTCTTTCTTTTAGCAAGCTACCATTCATTACTGTTAGCAACAGGAAACAAAAGTGTGGTTCTGAACAGAGTAACAATCCATTAGTTCCTCTTGTTTTCTGATTAAGTATCACAAAAGACAGTCTCATTTCAGTAATTAGTTCTTAGACATTTCTTAGCATAAACTTGAACAACTGCCCACCAAACCCAAAAGAAACCTCTAGTTCTTTCAAATATTTTGATATAACTCAATGCTTCAGAGCAATGCTGTTTAAATGACTAGAAAACAGAGAATTAGTTTGGTGGAGTGTTTTTGTTTTGTTTTGTTTTTGTTTATTTGGTTGGGTTTTGCTTGTTTGTTTTCTTTGTTGTTGTTGTTGGGGTTTTTTAGCATGCAGTTCTCTTTCTGCAGTTTATCTAACTCAAAAATGGATTACTTACTTTTTTAGAGTTTTTGCCCCTGATGATGAATGAGGTTGGAGGTAGAAAGGAATCTTATTGAACTTGGGCATATTTTTCTAGAAGGAAACACATTTGGAAAGTGTTAATTTAGGATGAAACGTTGTCAGCTACTATTTCCACCAGCTGGTATGTTGAAGTATATTCAGCTCCTAATTATAAAAACCCATGAGAGATTCTTAATCAACATCCCCACCATAGCCAAATTCCAAATTACTCATACTCCTGAGACACTTCAATTTAGATGATGCACAGATCATTGAGCTTTTGAATATAAATTATCAGTTATTTCAGAGGCAATTAGATATATCAAAAGACAACAGCAATATGATGTGTATTCTCTGTTCCTGAGCTCCTCACTTGAAAATGATACCAATTATGCACAGGGCTTTGAATTCTTTTTCTAAGACTTTATGTCTGAAAAAAGTGAGCAAAAATACATTAACTGGACACATGAAAAAAATCATGAATCTCAAAGGGTCTTGAATACAGACCTCGAGGCCACTTATTTTGAATGCAAACAGAGCATAAATTTAAAATGTAATTTCAGACACTGCACAATTAAAAAAACTTGTAGTACATCTTAAAAAAAAGCCACAATAAAAAAGCAACACTTATTCACACAACACTTACATCCACAGTGATGTCAATTACCCATTGTGGCACAGTTTCATTAAGAAGCATAGACTCGGTTTCTCCACCTGAATCCCGACATAATAACCTAAGGTACACAGAAATAACCTTTGTGAATGAAAACAATCATTTTAAGTTGCACTGAAAAGCTTTCAGGAGAGGACCTGCCCTTTTAATGGGCAGGGAGCTTGAACTTTGTTAGCAACATCTAACTTACTGGGGAAGTGATCACTTCTTTCCTGTAAAGACGACAGGTAGCTGTAGGAAAACAGATCCCAGAGCAGAAACAGGGAGTAGTATCCTAGGAAACTCTGGCTATGACACAGAGAAAATTTAAAAAGCTACTTTGCTCTGGATTGTGTATGTTTGTGTGTTGAAGAACGAAACTGTCAGGAGAAGGGGAAAGGCACCTGGCATAAAGCAATTCTTTTCTGCTTCAAATAAATGAGCTTTGATTTAAAGCATCTGCTAAGCCCTCACCAAGTAGAAAGAATAAAACCAATTTTATGAAATGTGCACAAACAATGATGAAACAAAGCCAGATAAAATTTTATAAATTCCAGTGAGGTATTTTGTTGGAGTCCTGCAAACCTTCTTTTAGGTCCCACAAGCCTGGCTTGCTCCCTTCAATGGGGTCTTCCCAGTGTTCTCCTAAGAAGAAGCTGTGTAAGAGCTAAGATCCACCAGTGTAGAATGGAGGCAAAGATTAAGCCTCAGGTACAATTTAAATACATTGATACTGCAGCAAAAAAAAGTCAGTTTACAAAGCTGGAATTGCTTTCCCTGTTTTACTGACCAGTTAATGGACTGAAAGTTACATCATTTTTGGGCTTATTCAGCCTGGGAAACAAAATCAAAAAAATCAAACATCTCCCACCCCTTAAATTTAAAATCCACTATGTCAGTAAATATCAGATACTTCACAGTGTTTCAAAGCTCAGTATCTGTTTTGCAGCGCTATTAAAGTGTCTCTTATGTATCACATATCATAATTAGGCTTTTTCAATGTAGAATGAGAAGAGCTAGGAGAGTAATTAGAATATAAACATTACAACACAGAACCTGTGCTCCTACCTGCTACAGCTTAGGACCTTCTAATGGATCATTTGCTGTAATTCTGGGAGCAGAAACCAACTCTCTAGTAAGCAGAATCTCCTGGGATGAACCATTATTTCTCAAAGACCAGCACAGCATACCCATAAGGGAAGTTCTACAAGAATGTAAATCTAGACTTTTATTCTAAACCAAAGTTCAGTTAATCAGTTTGCAGAAAGAGGGCACCCAGTGATTTCAAAGCGATGAGACACAGCTAAGAACTATACACAACTCTTACTGTTGTAAAGCCCCACACCTTGTTGATGTTCAAACTCACATACTCAGTGGGACAATGCCAAATTATCATCAACAGCTGCTTATTTTGCCTGTCAAGGGCATGTCTTGAATGTCCAGTACAGAATGGAAGCACTGCATTTTGACAATGTTCCTGCTTGTGCAGAGAAGTGATTGTTCAGTCACTGAATTTACACTCTTGAGTTTTTATACCTGAACAAAGTGCGTCCTCCAGCCTCACCAAAAATAACTGGTGTATGTGGTGGCACTTGGAAGTATCCATTTCCTTTCTGGACTCTGTTCTCCTGCTCACCATTCACTGTTAGAAAAAGAAATCATTGCAGCAGTGAGATTGCAGTAGGCCTTAAAACTGGGCATTCATAGAACAAAACATGTCTTTTCCATCTACAGCTAATTTATTTCATAAATTAACAAAATCATATGCTTTACATAAAACAAGAAAATCCCCATTTCCAACATGCAGCAAGTATATAAGAAGGAACAGTATAGAGTAATGAGATCAAAAAAGGTCTGTGTAAGGCCTGTTCAAAAGCCTTTGAGAAAGGGGAAATAGAGCTCAGGAGGCAAAACCCTACTAGTAGTTTTTTTCCATTTCCTTAATAAAATTCTAAGTATTGTTCAATTTGACAAATCCTAATATTAGAAATCAACTAAAGAGACTTGCTGAGACAAGACTGTTCTTCCCTTTTCCACTGACAGCACAGAACTCTGAAGGATATTGGCTTTACTCTTCTACCTGGATTTGCCAGATGTCAAAACAGCGTACTAGGAAAGCTCAGACTCACAGTTCCTTGAAGTTCCTGCATTATAAATTCTATTTATTATAGCCAGTTACAGCAGGATGGTCTTCAAACACTGAAGAACCTGATTCCATATCAGCGAACAAGATAAGATTAAAGAAAAATCAGCATTACTTATGCACCTATTGAACAGTGCAGCTTCCAGTCAGTCAGGCATCTTGAAACACAGTGTAGGAGAATTCAGATGCCTGACCTGCACTTGGGAAAAATCATCTCCATTACACTACAGCATCTAGTTACTGTATTTGAACATGATGTTGAACTCAAGCAACATAATATATTTAGATGGCACAGTCTCATGAGATCAATGATCCCTTAGCTTTCTAACCAGAAACATATGTAGTGAAAGAAAGGTCAGAAGTTGTATTAAGCAAAGAAACCAAAAAACCAAAAATCTATATTAGAAGGGACAAACATGATACTGAAGTTACAGCAAGTGAAAAATCCTAGAGTTTGAAACTATAACACTTCTCTTACCAATTGAGAGGAACAGCACTGCACATATACACACATTTATGTGTGTTTATTTATATTTTCTCTACAAAAATTTCAGTGTCCAACTACATCTTAAGTCACTGCTCAGTGTCAGTTTCTTCATTTTTTAATTTTGAAATGAAATGAAGACTTATTTTGCATTTCTCATATCTTGTCTGGCTCTAAGCTGTAGATTGCCAATACATAACAGTATGAGAATCAGCAACTTGATCCAGAAGAGTCTGCCAAGTGCTGTAACCCTCCATGGAGATCGTTTTTGAAAGAAGAAAGTAACTAACTCTTGGCACAATCTTTGCCATAAAATGGCAAGATATTGCTGAATGTACAGTTTCCCTAATTGCATTATCTATCTATAGAAAGTAATTTCTTAATCACCAAAGACCAGACTTTTCAGTCAACTCTGATCTGGGTTGAATTGATTTCAAACTTAGGAGTTACATATTCTCTTTTATTCTGCCAAATTCAGCCACTATCTTACATTTTACATAGCTGTGCTTTTCATCTCCTGCCTGATTAGGATTAGCATTATTACCTTAAAACACCATTCTAAGGTGGTTTTCTATAGACCTACTTCACATATTATTATACCAAAGGTATTTTTTCAAATAAATCTTTCTTTTCTTTTATTTTGTTCATAATACCTAGAAGAAAACTGGAATTATGTCAAGAAAATACTTGCTAATGTTGAATAACTGAACTATTGCTCTTTGCTGTCATTATCTAGGCTGTTTCTTCTCTAAGTCAAGCCTTAGTGTGCCAGTAATTGTTCTTCATCAAGGCATCATGTTTCTGTAACTTCAGAATCATTTAAATTCTTCTATTCAACTGCTTTTTTTACAGACCAGAGTTCTTAAGATTTTTGCTGATGCTTTCAGAAGTACAACACACTTTCTGGTGTAAAGTGAATTTAAAAGGGCTAAAAGACATTAGTCTACAATGCATACAGAGGCAGGGGTAAGAGAACAAATATGTTGTATCTGTTCAAGAAACAGAAATAAATAAACAGAAAGTATGGACAAATCCTAAGAAAGGAAAATATTAAAATACTAACCATGGTTCATCTCATTTTCTTCTTCATCCATTGGATTGATATGTGTTCTAGGCCAATACTCCAGAAGTGCTTGTAGCAGAAGCCCTCCAAGGTTTACTGTCAAGACACAGTGAAGTGTAAGTTCAGTTACAGAAAAAATGTTGGCAACATAATATTCTACATTTGATCTACAGCTATTTATGGGCACAGAAATCTGCTTATCACAACCTCAGAGCTCTATGTTACAATCTTTCAGAAAAAGATGATTTTAGAATCCCTGCTGTTGGATCATTCACGTGATGTAAAATTCTCTAGATTAGGTCACAGTTACTTTTCCCCTTTTGTTTCTTGAAGGTTTGAAACCAAGTTAAACAGAAAACCTGAACATGATAGAAATGTTGCAGAAAAAAGCAAACACTGTCACTGGAGAAGTCGCTGCAGAATTTGATGTTAAGAAAATAAGCCCTAAAATCCAACCAGTTACTGACACAGGCATTTGAACATTTCAAAACATGCATACTGGAACTTTTCTGCTTTTTTTAAAAAAAGTAAAAATATTATTTAGAAGTAAAAGTATTATTTAAAACTTACATTTTGGATCAGAACCATCTGGACTGCTAAATCCAGCATCCTTTGCTGAAACCCAGGCTGCAAAGCAGTCACTTTCATCCAAAGTAATTGTCAACATCTGTTGGCAAAAGACCACCAGGGAGAGGAATGTAATAGTTGTTTTGGATTAAACAAGTCTATAAATTTATAATTTTGATCACACTTAACTGGGATTACAAACCAACGAATTTCTAAATGCATGGCAGAACACACTGTTTACCAAACTGTATTAATTCATAATTGGTATTGGTGGACCATACCATGAGGGAAAAAATAATAAAAAAAGCTGTTATTCAGATTAGGAACAAGGGTAAAATTTGCTGTTTTACTTGAAAATAAATCTAACCCATCAGCTAAGCAATGAACATTCTTCTAAAGTTATAACAAGCTAAAAGCTTTGTGAACAAACAGTATATGAAATATGACATTAGAAAAACAGATTTAGGAGTTGTATCTCACCCCAGTTTTCAAGTCTACTGAGAACCAGTTTGGCACATACACCATTTTAAATCTCTTCTTAATTTCTTCTTCAAAGTCTACTTTCCCAAGGTCTTCAACTTTACATGCCTGTACACCAAAAAAAAAGTACAAGTTTTGAGCCATATCAACACCCAAATCTTTAACTTGACTTTCATATACATGTGGAATGATTACGGCTTCTGATCTCTCCAGGAGTACTGAAGCCCAGAAACGTGAAAGTTAAAGGTTCAAACATTTCCCAAAAAATTGAACAGTAATTTATGTGGTAAGTAATTTTTGTTTCAAATCTAGCAAATTCAGATCAACTACTGCAATGGGCACAGCACTGAGTGACTTGTGAATTCAAGGGTCTGAATTCCAGGTGAATGCAGGCGTCTGCCTCACATCAGGGAAAGATGCAGAAAAGCTCAGAAATACCCCCTCCCCTTTCAAAAGGCACACTTTGCATGATGTCTTGATACAGAAAGAAGACTCACAGGAATCTCACACACATAAATATATATATATATATAAAAAGTAAAAAATAATTAATCATCCAACAGTAGGAACTTAATCTGAAATAATATACTTACCTTCAAGACATCCCAGTATGCCACATTATTGTTTGTGTCTTTGGTTAATATGTGTCTCTTGTCATTAAGAATGTGGCACTGAATAATACTAGCACCCCCTGCCAAACAAACAAGAATTAAGGTCACTACAGTCATTATTTTTTCTAATATCACATTACATTGTGCAACATGACATGTGCACTGTTCTTTGCTTTCACTTTTTTATATAAGAATTGGATGTCACTAAGGTGTAAACACCATTTTAACTGTAACTAACACTGGATAGACAGTAACTACATTGTCTTTGCTTTAGTTCAAATCATAGTATCAAGTATCTAAAAACCTGAGTCAGTCTTAAAGTTGTATAATTTCTGCTAATGGTACCATATTTTATAAGGTCTTCTGAAAAACAGTTGTTTACCTTTTATAACTTGGTCAGGCTGTGTACACAGGGGTGGTATGGGATTGGTACAATCATTATCATAATCTCCTGATGCTCTAAAATTATGAATTCCCTTCAAAGTCTAAAGAAAGAAACAAAATAATGACACATTCATAATAATCTATAAACGCTGATTTGTAACAACTGTCAGTTCATGCTGCTATTTAGATGTTAACTGTTCAGTTCCAAGAAAGATACTTTGTTTCTAAAAGCACCATAAATAGAAAGGAAGTAATTCAAAGCTTAATACCTTTTGATCAATTTTAATATTAACATTTTATGATTTTTTTATAAAGAAACCTCACAGATCACAGCAAGTCACAGTCAAATTGCAAGCAACAGCCCAACAGTTCCCAAACCAAGACTGCAATTCCCAAGACTACTTAATTGAAATCACAGACTGTAAAATATATCACTTACCCATTTATTCACAGAGGATTTAGTTGTTGCAACCCAAAGTGCTGGAGGAGGATCAGCTGATCTATCAAGTTCCATCTAAATAATGAAACAGAAACTTTCAGTCATGCTTAGATTAGTTTTCCTTTGATAATTAATATTGCTCTGTGTAGACTGGCTCCCATATTTGGAAGTATCTCAGGAATAGTACTACTTTCAGTTTACTACAGAAATACAAAGTTTAAAGGAAAAGAAACTAAGCTGAAATATCTGAAAATGCGGAGAAATTGTTTCAAATATTCAACAAATAAATTCGGGACAAGGATAAGAGTAGATGCAATGTGTCTAAACAGCCCAGCATTTAAAGATGCTTCTAGCAAGATGCAATCTTATCTAATGGATAGTTTGATAAGAACAGTATTTTCTGAACTACTTGCATTCAGACACTTCATATGGTTAAAACGAGAACATAAGAAGTTTTGTACTAATTAACTTTATACTTTTGGCTCGGTCATTACATTTTTCAGCCAGTAATGAATGACCACAGCCAAGTGATCTCTGTACAGCTGACCACAGCTTTCATTTCCCATTTTGAACTACAATTTCCCAGATTGTTACTTTTTCAGAAATAAATTAGTATATCCAAGATTGGATTTGAACACAGCCAGAGTTCACTCACAAGGAAAAGCAGACTGCTTGTATCTGTAGGTATCTGTTTCAATTGCACCCTCCTTAAACAACTACAGGTTCCAGGGTCACGTCATCTAGTTACAGACAACAAAAAAATCCAAAAAGCAGCCTCTTCAAAAGACTCAGACTTGTGTGTGCAGTTTTCTCCAAGAACACATCAAGTTTCAGTGTGCAAAAAACCCACAATCAACTTTACTCCTGGTTCCCCTGAGTACACAACAGATTCTGACACAGTCCTGTGCACATATGTTGCTGCTAAGAAAAATCTGGTTTTGTACAAAGCCTTGGCAACGCCAGCTCAGTTTCTTAAAACTGTACTAGAGCCTGATAAAACCAACTTTTCACGTCTGAAGTACTTGAATTTGCGTATTTTCAGTAGTTGCCAGGCATCTATCTTCTTCAGACAATTCAGCTTCAGATGCAATATGGGAGACAAAGCCAATCTACTAAGATGTGACCCAGTAAATGCTTGCTACCCAACGCACATTCTTTCTATCAACTTACATCACTCAAGCCACTATTTTGTTAGATAACATGCAACTACCCTTTTACACTGTGAGGGTGAGGCAGCACTGGCACAGGTTGCCCAGAGAGATTGTGAATTCTCCACCCTTGAAAATACTCAAAAGCCATCTGGACGTGGTGCTGGGCAATCAGCTCTGGTGGCTCTCCTTGAGTTGGGGGGACAGACCTCCAGAGGCCACTTCCAGCCTCAGCCATTCTGTGATTCTCTGAATTAAACCCAATTACCTTAAGAACTGGTGCTTTTTCTTCACAGATAAGCACACGGATATCAGGATTTCGTAAATCTGTACAGTAAATCTTCCTGTCTCTTCCTCCTGAATAAACATGAGTGAAGGCTTCATTGACCTGCAGAGCCCAAACACCCTCATCATGGACTCGATATGTGGCTATGCACCTCTGCTGCCCAAGTGACCACAGGCGGATAGTCCCATCAGAGCTGCCTGAAAGACACTGAGCAACAACCATCACACTTCAATCAAGCAGGTATTTAACTCTTTTAAAATACTGTCTTTTCCATAAAAAGCTTTGATAATTCTTATGGTCATATTTTTCCATTAAGATGGTGCTAAACAAAGACTGGCAAATAACAAGGCTAGTCACAATTTTACGTAAACAACCCCCTCCATACCTAGATGAACCTGTAATAAAACACAACCTTCACCCAACAGCTTCCCTCCCTTAATCACTAAATATCTGTAATACTTGTTAAGCTACCTTCTGTAATCTACCACATAAAACAATTATATCAAAAAAGACTAATGACACTTCTGCATTCTGTAAAATGCAGGTTAAAGCACATACCTGGGTGCCATCTCTGTTCAACAACAAAGCTTTCACATTGTCTGTGTGCCCTTTGAGTTTCATTAGTTTTGCACAAGTTCTTGGATCCCACACCCTTAGAACCTATGGAAACAGACATTGGATAACTGGAATTAATACCATTCTTCCCACCAATGCGTTTCCTCTGCGGAAATTAAGGCTTTCCAAATGAATCAATCCAAACACACAGATTACATCACTGTAACCACATATTAGAAAAAGACAGACATTATGCAAGTCTAGGAATCAGATGTGATCTTCTCTTGATTTTAATTGAATTTATTCTGGCTTCTTCTGGCTTCTTAAGAAATAAAAGAATAGAAGCAACAGGAAACAGGATAGTGTGATGTGGGTTAAAAAGATTCTGAGAAACTTCTCAGATGATTCATTGGTGTATCCTATTTTCATTTTTACACTGTCTTGGAAATAAAATTCTCTCAAGGTTAGATTAGGTAAGAAAACAACTCACAGGGACCTAAGCATGTTTCAGCTTCCTTTACAACAAAGAACTAGGGCTGTCTCTTGGGGACACTTGAACTTCATTACCTCACTTCATTTCCCACCTCCTGCAGGGATCTCATAAATTGCTGGCACTGTTTCTTTCCTACCTGCAGCAACTGCTTCAGTTTATATAATCATCTGAGTCATGTGCCCACAAAAATCAGAGCTCTTGTGGTGAAATGTAATGATCTTTGACAAAGAGAGGGTTACACAAGATGATCTGATTGTTCCCCTATGTATGAAAGCTTTATGGATATGTGACATCCACAGACTGAGGCAGGATTTGTACCCTACACTTGCATTCCCACTAAAAAAAAAGTGTTTACACTCACTATTAAAACCACAAAAGCTGCTATAGACATAACATTGAAAATGAATAAAATTGTCTCTCTATACTACACTTTGAACTGAAGTGGAATGAGCCTTACCAAATTTTGCTTACCTTTTCAGTGGACCCTGATACAATAACTGTTCCCATTTGATTCATTGCAAGGCTGTAGATTGAGTCTTTGTTCCCACTCAGGGAAGAAGCTATTTAAAAAAAAAAATTACATATTCAATTTTAATGCTGTCATTCAAAAAAACCCCACATACTTATTCATTCAAAACTGGTATTTTAATATCCTTTGATCCATGAAAATAGTGCCACTCTGGTCCATATATTGAGTTGCTTTATAAAAAAGAAAGACTATTGTTAGGAAAACCCCAGCCCAATTCTTAATTTACTGGTGCAGAAAAAGAAAATAACCCCTCAGATTTATGGTCATTACAGTCCTGGTGCACTTTTGACACCAAAATTCAGCGCCAAGACCATCAAGCTATTCTTGCTCAACTACTTTATTGGAGTATGATACTTCAATGTGATCTTGTAACACGCAGCATTTGGATTTTTTTTCCAAGCCAAGTAGCAGTAAAATTCTACATTTTATATTAAAGGCTCTTCTCCTAGTTCAGCAAAGATGCAGAGAAGTTACACTGCAGTGCTGCAATGTGTTACTTGAGCACGGATGCTGCCTCTGAGTTTGTGCAAACCATATGGCAGCTCTTTAGCATCACACCTACCATCAGAGTTGAGGAATTCTGAGCCATCTAGGCTAATCCACTTTTGAAGAGAGTAAAATACCAGTCCCTCAACTGAGAAAAGCACAGACACAGCAAATGAAAGTCATCTATTTAGAGAGCACAATCAAGTATTTCATTAAGCCTCAAAATCCATATGATCAGTATGCCAAGAAGGCTGAGAATAGCAACAAACTGCATGGTCAGCAAAAATGTGAAACTTCACATAATGATTTATGTATGTCATGGAGCTAAGTTTCCAACACAGCATTTGTAACCTAATATCATAATATAATACTGCCTTTTGTCACAGTGGAGGAACTTGTGTCAGGGGAGGTTTAGGTTGGATATTGGGAAGAGGTTCTTTACCCAGAGGGTGGTTGGACACTGGAAGAGGCTCCCCAGGGAAGTGGTCATGGCACCAAAACTGACAGTGCTTAAGAAGCATTTGGACAACACTGTCAGACACACAGTATGATTTTCTGAACTTGTCCTGTGCAGAGCCAGGAGCAGAACTTGATGATCCTTGAGGGTCCCTTCCAATCCAGCAAATTCTACGATTCTGTGAAGCATTATGTAGCTTTACTTCAGGGTCCTCTTAGGCACCAGTTATGGCTATCCAAATGTAAACTGTCAAATGAAATATATTACCCATGGCCAAAATTAAGTGAGAATCTTCCACTGTCCACAGAGAACAATTAAAGGCAAATTGCAGAACTGAAGACTCCTGGAGGTTAGCACACTGTTCAACAATCACTATAATTCAGGAGAGGATGATACACAGAGTTATCAAAAGCTGGATACCAGGAATGGAAGAGAGAATCTTAACTGTACAGAAGCAGAATTTATGCCATAACAAAAGCAAAGCTCAACTCCACCCTCTTTTGGAAGGGACTACTTGTCAAAAGCAAAATCTCTCCGCTTAATTTGAGTTATGGCTGTGCTGACTGAGAGACTCTTTAAAAATAAGCTTCCTCTTAATGCTGTCTTGTGTACATTGCTTCCAGGCAATCAGATAGGAAATTAATGTACAAGAACAAGCTTCATTTGTACTCTCAAAAAAAAATGATACTGTTTCAAAGGACTTGGGAAAACAGCTTCTTTGAGGACATTTACTGTGTTCTTCCCAACAGAAACACTACTATTTGAGAGTACTAAAAAGAAAGAAAAACAGCTCCTCTGCTTACCTTTCCTCCCCCTCATGAAGTATTTGTGTTCTAACTCTAGAAATGCAAATCTACCCCGTCATCTTAGAGGCAATGTCTCCACTTCCATTTGATCTTTGGCAAACCCAAGCATTGGCTCCACAGTACTCCTCATCTCTGATTTACTTGAATCATTTAGGTTCTGTATCACTGTAGCAGTGTACAAGAAATGCTGTGGGTTTTTTTTTGTTATCTCACAACTGAGTTTTCCTGTCAGCTCACAAATAAATTCTTCCTTCAAGAACTCCATGTTCAAGTAGAATATGGAAAAACTTACAGTTATCAGCAAGGTGTGGCTATAAAATAATTCTTTCAATGCAAGTAAATAAATAAATATAATGATTTTATATTTCTGGGAAATATAAAGTAAATCTCTTTAGGTATCTCCAGTTGTGTGCCATTCCAGCACTATTCTGCAGGGCAACACAGCTCATTAGAAGCCATCTCTCTTCCATTGGGCTACTCAGACTTGTCAGCATCAGGCTATACTTGAATTAAAGTCCTGTAGACAGAGCAAATGCCAAACTCACAGTTCTGCCCAGCAGATGCACCTTTGGTTTCAGAAACTACCAAACCCATAAAACTAACACATGTTTCAGAATCATCCAAATACAGTAATTCAAAAAACCCCCTACAGGCCTGCCTCTTACTTACAGAACTACATATTCCTGAAATTTCTTAAGAGTATGTTGTGCCACTTCCAAATTTTAGTTTTGCAGATTTCTTTTTAGTTATTCCTAACCTGTGACTGAGGCAGCAACTATTCTTATTTAGAAAACCTAAGTGTGGCAGTGTGCAAGTTGATTCTGTTCTTTCCCAACACATCCATCAGATTCTGCTATGTTAAAACATCTATCAAACATTAAGTAGAAAATGAAAGAGATCAGTCACTTGGAGAAAATTTTTCCAACCTACCCAACAAGCAGCAGAGACCTCTTTCTGAAAGAAACCTATTGTAAAACAGCCAGTACAAACCAGAATGCCCATGACCCAGATCTATGCTATTCACTGGAGCAATCAAACCCAACTGAACCTGAAGACTGGTGTGATACTTCCCAGAAGAGAAACTTAATCAGCTCTACCCTGACTAGTCTAAGAAGGTGGTGTTGGAATTGTTGTATAAGGAAAGATCTCATAATTTACTATAATGCCTTTACAGGGAGAGGGAAGCAAACAGATCACTTCCTGAAAGATCATGGTGACATTAGGAGTTAACCCTGATGAGTAGAATCTACAGACAGCTTCCCCTTGCCTTCCAGTATCTAGTGAGTTAGATCTCACCAGTCTTATCCTTACCAGTGCTTAGTATTACTCTGCATGTTTTTTAACTAATTTAACTAGTAACTTCATTGTTCTGATAGAGAAATTTGATAAATCTGTAAGTCCTGCTTTAGGAGCTGTACTGCAATGTTTTTTTCAGCATCTATACAAACAAAAAACCAACTCCAAATTATAATACACAAAAAACATACAGACAATATAATCCAAGAGAAAATTTCTGTGACAGGTTAGTTGAGAAGCAAAAAGCTTCTCAAGCTAAAGCTCTATCAAGTTTCAGAGAAACCAGCACATCACATTTCAGAAGAAAAAGTTCAAAGAGACTTGTCCTCTATTGTAAATGCCATGACTGGTGGCTGCTCTAGATTTCCAGCTATTATATAACACAACAAATGCACTGATTATGTACTAAAACCACCTTAAAATTTCTTGCACATTTTTTATGTACAGACAGAAAGAGGCATCTATGGTTTTCAATTGATCTCACAGATTATGCTACTCAATCAAATGTGCTGCATTAGCCTCCCCTCCCCAGGTACCTACTTGTTACAGTGTTATTTGAGGCAGTCAGTGCTGTTAGAGTATTTACATCCCAGAGGAATATCTGTCTGTCCAACCCAGCAGATGCTACCAGCTCCTTGTCTTTTGCATATGCCAATGCTTTCACATAATCCTACAATAAAATATGTACAAGAACATGAACAGACAACATCATCCATTTGAAGTCTACATCTCAATAATTGAAAGAATGGCAGTGATCACACATATTATTTACAGAAAATGTTTTTCACCTTATGCGTCCTTAGTGTTGACATGCAAAATCCCTTATGTGCATTCCACACTTTAACAGTAGTATCTGAAGAAGCAGATATCACTAAATTGGAAAGAATAAAGACTAAATTTTAATGGCTTACATATAACTTTAGGGAATATTCATACTACTCTGTTTTACAAAAAAAGATTGAAACAACCGTTTATATACACATTTCAATTTTCATTAAAATGTCTGCTTACACTATTTACCAAATTTACAATATACATCACAAATTAATTTTACATGCAAAAAAAAAAAAGATGGAAAATAATTTAAGCAGCAGACAATTTACTTCATACAGTCTTTGAATGCTGTAGTTCTCAAACTTTCAAGTACTTACATGTTTTACCATTGCAGCAGAGCACAATGTCATTTACCCAATCTGTGTGGTGTTCCATAGATGCTATATAAGGGTCTTGCTGCAAATTAAGGAAAAAAAAGTTTATAAAATCTCATCACAAATGGAAAAGATTATGACTATCATATCCTGTTGTAATATTTTATTCAACCTTCCAATGGACCTAAAGTTCTCTTATCCAGACTTGTTTGAAATCACTGTTCCAGAACCTTTTTGTGACAGAACTAAACAGCTATGTAAGGTACCACAGTATGAGCAATGTTAAAATTATTTTGCTATCATAACAATTGGCAGCTGTTAAAAACCAGCATCAGATGTAGACCTGTGGAGAGCTTGCCTACCTTGGAAGAAAGGTTTAGATAGGAAGCCTCTCGTGACTGACCTTGTGCTGATTGACACTCCATATCCTTATGATGGAGTCCCGGCCTGCTGTGAAGAGTCTGTTCAGTGCTGGATCCAGCTGAAGTGCATTTACCCCGTTCCGGTTGTACTTCTCCACCTCATCTCTAATCACATAGGAGACCTAGAACACAGTTGCACAAATCCAATTATGGTATTAAGGTGTTGACTTGGCCACAAAACCCAAACATCTAATTTCATCTTTGGGAGGGTCTTGGGTAGAAAATATCAAGAGTTTTACAAGCATTAAGTCTGCAGGTTTGAGAGTTACCAACACCACCTCAGTCATTTCCCATATTAATGGGGAAGAGTCACAGAGAAGATGTCAGCAGTGTACAAAGGATTATTTAATCATTACAACTCAAGTTTAGTTAGATCCAGAGAATTCTTAGTTCAGTTCCCTGCTTCATGTGTATATTGTGGGTGCTCTTAGAAAACACTCTGTGTTTGTGTCTCACTTCCCAAGAAGGTTCCACAGTTTCTATAGCTGGGATGACAGTCTTTCCCATTCTCACAGGGGAGAGGATATGGTCACTAAGGACTAAAGCATTCAAAGACTGCAGATACAAATTCAAGCTATTTCAGCTGTTATTATTTTTAAACCAATTTTTTAAAACCTACCTATCTGCCAATATAATAGAAAGCTCAAATTTTTACTGCTCTTTCAGATAAATGACTCCTTTAGGTTTTTTCCTTCTGTGTTTGACAGTACTGTGTGTAAAGGTTACTTCGTGGATTTGTTCAGAAACACTAAAAGGAAATTTCAGGAGACCCTGCAAAGGCCACAGCACTCTCCATTATTATGTTCAGTAAACACAGTTCTAAGGCACTGAAGTTTCTTCAGAGTTACTCCACTCACACTGTGCTGCAGCTCTCCTGATCCCCAAGTTTACACAGGGTTTATATGCATTACTCTGAGGAAAGCCCTCACACTTAGGGAAAAGGAGGGGAAGCTGCCAGTTATGCCTCTTCCCCTATTCTGTAAACTATAATCAGAACAAGGTAAAATTTCATGCTTGGTATAATCAAATCTGCTCAGAGCCGGAATCATTTGGATACACAAGTACAAGTGGTTTGAACATGCTTACAAGTAGTCTAGAGATCTGAAAGCAATTTTTCACTCCAATAACTGTTACAGTAGTATAAAGAAAATGTTTTCCAGATCAAATCTCAGTTACACAAAACAAAACCAACAAACTAAAATATTCAGTGAGTGGTTCTTATCACTGAAGAAATATTTTTCAGCATCTCAGATTCTGTACCATGAGAGATGACAGGTCCATTTGGTGTATGTGAGCAACACCTCAACTGAACTACCCTGTCCCTGTGCAGCACAGTAAGAGAACTGATGCTTCCAGAAAGCACATGTCCAGTGCCACTTTGTTTGAGAAAGAGCTGCAGCAGCTCTACAAACCGACACAGGAGGATCAAAATTAAAAGCCTCCTGAATCCTTCTGCCTTAATACTCTCCATTATCATTTCACAAGTCCTTCACTAGAGTTATTAATTTTATGTACCAATGCACTTAAAACACTTCTTGCTCATATTCTGCCAGCCACTCACAGTCCCTGCAGAGACACAGCTCTTCCTCACAATTTTAGATTGTGTCCTAATTTCCAATACTTTCAGCTGCTCTCACCCATTCCAGACTCATCCATAACATTCTTGCTATCTGTGCTCCACCTACACACAGTTTTGGAGACACTACTGAGAGAAGACACCACTGACCACACATAACGGTTTTATGTTAAAACACTTCAAACACTTCTAAGTTTTTGGGTTTTTTTAGAGAGCAAGATGTATGTGCAACTCCTCAGCTGGGCTTGAGGATATCATGTCTATACTGCTGGAAGGCACACAGACTACTGGAGTAAAAGAATTTTACAAAGTCAAGGTTTAACATGATACAAAACACAAGGCCACAAAGGAATGACCACCAAACTCATGCTGCTTTCAAACTCTTTGAGGCAAGCCAATGAAAATATTCAGTTAAAAATACTGTGTGTGAGCAGATAAGACATAAATTAAAGTAATTCAAAACCTAAAGTAGATCAGATTTGATGTTAGTTAGTAGGGAGAACAATCTCTTGCTGACATACAGTGTCAAACTCAAAGTCAGCTTGGCCCTTCAGCTCTTGCTTCTTGCAACTGCTAGCAGGACATATTTCGATAAATTTTCAATTTTTGAATTTGCTCCTCTTCTGTCAGTCACCTCCCATACTTGTTATATCTTCAGGTGTAATACAGAGCTCTTGATTCCACTCATAAATAAGACTGTCACACTATGTTAGTCATCCAAGCATTTTAAGGAGCTTTTTGCTCATAATAATGTTACCTTTTTAATTTAAAGGAGTTCAAGCAAAGCAGAGCCCTTTATTCTTTTTAATAACTTCCACACATGAATTAAGTAAAACATCTCTTGGCAAGTATTGTTTTTTATTTTGAAAGAACTGGGACAAAGAGAGGAGTTATATTGTTTTAGGGTTAGCAAGTCCATCTATGCTGGATCTCAGCACCAGTTCAGCATCAAACTCAACACCATCCCTTCTTCTTGGGACAAACTGGAGAAAGTAGCTGTGCTGTAACAACTGAATTAAACAAGATTAAAATCTTATTTATTTCTCTTCCATTTTTTTTCTGTAAATACATGACAGCTTTGATGGAGAAAAATACGGCAATACAACAAAAAAGCTTGATATAAAATTTCCCAGCAGCAACTGCTACTGTTCACAGAATTCAACCAGTTGTCTCTGCTCAGATTTACAATTCTACAAAGTTTTATTTACCATCCACAAAGGGGTAGCTTAGTTTTCCTAATAAACTGTCTTAACAATTTAAGAAATAAGGGCAAAAAGGAAAAGAAATCCCTATTGTATAAAGAATCAGTAATGATCACTGTCTATCTGTCATGGGAAGAAACTGTGACTGCCATTTTTCAGTGATAAAAGCGATTCTAATCCAAATTATGCATGTGCTCCTTAAAGTAATTTTTCTTTTTTTAAAAAAATTTCTAATACTAAAAACACAAGTAGAGAAAATTAAGATGAAAGATACCTACTTTGTGGTCGGCAAGTTGATGGGATACCACACCAACATTTCACATGAATACTGTGATTTGAGCAGTCAGGCAAGGACAAGGCAAACCACTTGTCCTGAAGAAAGTATGAATTGAAAAAGCTGATTATGGCAAAAAATGGACTCTCCAACTCATATTGGAGGCCTAATGATATCCAAGCAATTGCCCACTCTTACACTGAAAATGCTTAATGAATTTTTCTCATCCAGAATAAAAAATGTTAAAAGGTTCACTCTTGCAAAGCAGTCATTGAGACTGAAATAAACATCTTGAATATTAACAAAACCAGAACAAGACTCATGGCATATGTGGCTGAACTAAAAATAACCTCATGAGACATTTGCTGAACACCTCAAGGAACCCTTTGGAAAGAGAGATATAACATCAGAAGCATCCAGGTTTGTACTCAAATGCGTTAATTCTATATTAACACAGAGGGGAAAAGTTAAGGGATTCACAAAAGCTGTTGAAATGCACGGGGAACTTAAAAAGGATCAATAAAAGCAACAGCAACTTGATTTAAAAGAGCTGACACTTGTGTAAGCATGGTGGACACACCTGCCAAGGCCACTAAACTAAAAAAATTCACTAAGAAGAATAGAGGAAGGTTGCTGATAATCCACGTGTTCTCCTTTATATTCTTATTTGGGGGGGGGGAGGTCAGAAAGTGCCTGGTTGGTTTTTGAGTGTTACTGATTATAGAAAGAAATGTTAGTAACTCTGGTGAGTATACAAACAAATGCAAAATATAATGTATACATTCAAGTACGTGTGTACACAAGCATATCTAAAGAACATAAAAGCAGTAAGATTTTGGCTGAGGAGAAACTGCTGTGATAAAATTCTCCTCTGCTCTGGAGCACACACATTTTATCTTTGTGTATAAGGTCCTGTGTCCTGCCTGGAAAGGGCTGTGGAGGTCACCAGGAAGTGACAGCTCTGAGCACTCAGTGGCATTTGTTCCAAGCAGGACAGGCTGGAGCACCATCACTGCTGTGCCCAGAGTCAGTGGCAAACCAGAGACAACCCTGACTGTGACACAGATCACCGGGGGTTTACTGCCACCATCCAAGAGGGACAGCATTCCTGGGATGTGAGATATTTTAATAATGACCCAGGCCTTTGACAGCAACTGCTGCAGCTTTTATAAACTCCCCCATGAACAAGAATCTTTCTCAGCAGCACAGCACAAACATCACAAGGGGATGGGCTCTCAGTATAAAGAGTTTATGGGATTCAGTACCCTAAATGGATCAGGATTAATCATTTTAATGACTACCTAAGAGCTCCAGAGATAAAGCTTCTGTCAACAGATGCATTTCAGAACATAAAGACAAGTGAATTTCTTGCAGGACCTACGATGTGTTTCTTGCCTGGATGAGTGTATCAGCTGATCTGGAGCCTTGTTACCCTTGTTACAAGACATGCCTTATAACAGATTTTACCTTCATAGATGGGTAAAATCTACTAATAAAAACACCACCACACCATCATGTGGAAGAAACACTGACCAGTGGAGCTCTGAGGACACTCATCCCTTGGTTTTAAGTGGAAAAAAAATAAATTCCACAAGACAAATACTATTGTGAACAATTTAAAAAAAAAGAAAATTTTCAAAATCACTGGAGGATTCCATGAGATGTGACAGGAATTGCACTCAAAATGAGAGAAAAAGCAGCAGTCAAGTAGCAAGAAAAGAAATATCTATTGCCTTAGTATCTTAGTAGAGCATATGTATCCCTAAAAATATGGATTTTAATTAAGAACACACTATTTGAATTCTTATCAGGGTCCCCAGGCTCTAGAATAAAAGTAATGGAAGGCATTAAAAAAATCATTTTATCCTTTTACAGTGTAATCAACTTACTGGCTATTTGTTTGCTTAAGCATTTTATATGAAATAAACATAATTTACAAATATAATTTGTATATTTATTATGTATAAAATATTAAAAATAACACATATAAAATGTAGTAAGTTGAAGTAGTAGCGCATAAAGATGACCAAATCAGTACAATGAGATCCTATAATGGTTTGGGTTAGAAGGGACATTAAAGTTCACCTTGCTCCACTCCCCTGCCATGGGCAGGGATACCTTCCACTAGACCAGATTGCTCAGGGTCCCATCAAGCCTGGCCTTGAACAATTCTAGGGACAGGGCACGAGATCATCTTATTCTGCATAAGACTGAAAGACAAAAAGTACTCAAAATTCAATAATTTTATAAGGATGCTGATCCAAAACAGTTATGGCAAAATTCCCACATGTTGTCAACATGTTTCAAGTGTGGGGGTAAATTTATTCTGGCCAGGGAGCAAGTTTGGCAGAGCAGATACAACGTGACCCCTTAAGGGCAGCTACTTCAAGCCACCTGCTGAGAAGTGGCTTCATCTTGATTTAATTCCCAGGAACAGATCTGAAAGTACAGCATGTGGCCAACAGCAGTGTCTGACACACCTCTGCATCCTCATCCTCTTCCCAAATCAGACAACCTCATTCCTGCAGCCTTCAGATATGCCAAGCTATGCTTAAGAAACACCTGCCACTGGACATTTCAAATGCCTGGCTTCCATTTAAATTATTCAACTTCTTTCCTTTTTCTATGCACAGAATTTATTTTGAGGCCTAAAGCATCTAGTCTGATTAAATCCTTAGAAACATAAAATTATATGCAGAAACACCCTAAACTGACTATTTTGGATGGTTTTGCTTACCAGTAAAACTAGTGCATCCAAGATATTAATAGCTCTGATTTCCATAAACTTCATCCATGTAAGTAATCAAGTACTTTCATACCCGAGAGGTGTTTTATGAAAAAGCTCCTCATAGTCTCGTATGTTTGGGACAAATTTCTCCCTCTGTCCGCCTCTCCCTGAAAAGTTACACGTAGCAGCATCCTAAATGCTCAGCCACTGGAAAGTAAAATAAACTGTGAGTGGTTTTATATTTCCAGTAGCAGCTGATGGATAAAACAGCCACTTAAAATTCAACTACATGAAAAAAATCCTGTCTCTGATGGAGCAGGTGAAATAATAAGAGGGCAAGAAAAAACCAACAGCTTCTGCTCAAGGCTTTATAAATGTTTATCATGGATTAGTTTGGGTTGGAAGAGACCTTAAAGATCATCTTGTTCTTACCCCCTGCCATGGGCAGGGACACATTCCACTAAACCAGGTTGCTCCAAGCTCCATCCATCCTGGCCTTGAACACTTCCAGGGATGGGGCATTCACAGCTTCTTTGGAAAACATGTAACCAAAAAAACTGCAGATCTAGACTTCTGGTGCACCAGTTAAGACCACAGATCACTATAGCAGTACATGAAGGGGAAAAAAAACAGTCACATAACACAATGAGAACAGAAAAGAAGACATCATAAACCAGCACAAAACCACCTGTAAAAACAAGCTTTTGAGCTAAGTAATGCTTAGAAAACAAATGTAGTAGTAAAAAAGGAAATAATGTGCTCTTTGATGCATGCTGCTGTCAGGGAAATACTCCTTCATAAATAGGATTACATCAAAGAAATATCAAGGTGTAATAAAATCCCCTTCCTTAGAAGTGCAACCTGCAAAAACTTGTTTATGGCAGAGGCAATGAAGTCAATAAAGGGATATTATGCTTTCGATTTTTTGTATTTTAAAAAATGTCCAAGGAATTTTCTGGTAGAGTAAGCGAATTCTTTATACAGTATTGACTGAGTGCTTCCCTTCACCACAGAAAACACTAAAGGCTCTAAAAAGGTGCACATTTCCTCTGTGTGGTAAAACTCAAAAGGTGTGTTCAAAAACCAAACCCACCTCTGTTTGGAAGGATCTTAACGCTATTCCAAGCCTAATCAATATTTCATTTGATCACAGTGGAAAGATACAGCTGAAACTTGCACTTGCCACTGGGCAGCTTTGCACATTGACAAAGCATTAAATCTTTTCCATAGTGAAAGCTGTAAAAATGCCTGAAGGGCTGGCAGTAGCACAAACGAGCAGCAAAGGATTGAGGACCATAAAATAAAACCATTTTCATGACTTTTACTGTACACATTGGTAATTCCAGTCTCCACCAAGGCTACAATAATGTACCCCTAACTACACGAGCCCACACCTCTGAGTCTAATTCTCTCTCAGGTGTGCTCTACACCTTCCAGGCTGCCTATGCCAAAGGTTTCCTTCAGCAAATGCTGCCTGGAGCTGGGTAGAACAAAATTTTGAATTCTAAACAGAAAAAGTCCTGTTCCCTGCTCATGTGTGCAAATGGCCAGTGTTTAACAGAGACAAGATACTAATCAGAAGTCAAAGTAGCGGTAAGATGCAAAGCAGATCATAAAATGGTTTGGGTTGGAAGGAACTTTAAAGATCATCTGGCACCAGCCCTCTGCCATGGGCAGGGACACCTTCCACTAGACCAGGTTGCCCACCCAACCTGGTCCTGAACACTTCAGGGATGGGGCATTCACAGCTTCTCTGGGCAACCTGTTCCAATGTCTCACCAGCCACACAGTAAAGAATTCCTTCTAACACCTAATTTAAACCTACTCTCGTTCAAACTGAACCCACTCCCCCTTGTCCTGACACTACAAGCTCTTGTTAATAATCTTGCCCATCTTTCCAGTAAATTCCCTTCGGACCCGCCAGCCTGGGCACTCCTGCCTTACCCTTAGGTTTGCTGTTCCAGACAGGCAACGCGAGTTGTTCTCACCCTGCTCTAGAGGGAAACCCCCGGCGCGGGACACAGCCGAGCGAGCGGCAGGAACCTGCAGCTCTGCTGCTGCTGGAGATCCACGTTACAGCTGAGGCAGGGCTGCGGGGAGGGTGGGGGGTCACAGTTCTTTCGCTTTCAACTTCACCTCCCGCTGTGCTTTGGATCAGGGTTGGTCCAGCTCTGCCTCCTGCGGGTCCCGACCCCGCCGGGCAGCGAGCAGCGGCTCATCGCCCGCGGTGCCTCAGGCAGTCGCTCGCCCCCTCCGCGGCGGCCAGCGAGGCGGGGGAGCGACACCGGGGGCGTGTGGCGGTGCCTCCCCTCCCCGCAGCGTTGCTGTGAAAGAGGGGGCGGCGGCGCTGCCGTGGAAACCCCCACGCCCTGACACCACGTGGGCGCTACCGCAGCCCCGCGAGGCGCCGGGCTCTCCCCGGAGTCACCGCGGTCCCGCCGCGCCCTCACCTGCACTTTCCGGCGCCCCGCCGTGTTCTGCCGGTGATGCGCCGCCATCTTGCATGTTGACACTGTGGCGTCATGTCCGACCGGAAGTGCCGCCCCCCGGGGCCACGCCCACCCGCGGCTTTTATACAAGGGCGGTGGTGTGGGCGGGGCCAAGGGGCGGGGCCAAGAGGAGGCGTGGCCACCGGTCCCGCCATGTTTCTTCAGAGCGGCCCCCTCAGCCCCTCAGGGTGGGTCGGGGCGCTCCTCTTTCCTCTGTTATGACCCGCTCTGTGCTGCCCCAAGCGACGCCAGAAGGCCTGTGTTGAAATAAGAAAGGGCCCACTCGAGTAAAGAAAATTGGTTTTATACGTCAATAATAATCGGATAATTTTTTAATCAGCAATTTTGCGTATGCCAATAATGACCAGATTGTTCCTGTGTGGTCGTGGGACAGCCTGGTTGTGTTGCCAAATAAGAGATAGGGGTGCTGGTTAGAGCATCACTTTGCAGCCTTTTGGCTAAGATCAAGTGCTCTTCTCGGTATTGGTTCTTACCAGTTTAATATCTGATGCGTCCTTGATGAGAGGACTTTATATTAAATGGATTTTTGGGCGCGGGAGTTGGACCCAGAGGTTGTTCCTGCCGCTCAGCACATCGTCACGGTGTTGTAGTACCTCCGGGACACTTTTTTCAGGACAAGAGGTCACAGTCTTAAGCTGCACCAGAGGAAGTTTAGGTTAGACATTAGGAAGAAGTTTTTTACAGAGGGAGTGACTGGGCATTGGAATGGGCTGCCCAGGGAGGTGGTGGAGTCACCATCCCTGGAGATGATTAAGAGACTGGATGTGGAAATTGGTGCTATGGTCTAGTTGACAAGGTGGTGTTGGGTCAGGTATTGCCATTCTTCTTCAATGCTGGCTGCAACCCTAAGAAGACATAATGATTACTTAATTACTTCTGCTAATTTAAATGTTTCTTATTTTGATACAGGTCACTTTGTCTAGCATTACAGAATGCACAGCGTCCTCATCATAGTTGCAAGTGGAGGGTCAGATTCTGAAATGAGATGTGCTTTGCCAGAGTCGATCCTTAACTGCAGTATTTCATAAAATCACAGAACAGTTCTGGTTGGAAGAGACTTCAAAGATCATCTGGTTCCACCCCCCTGCCATGGGCAGGGACACCTTCCTCTAGACCAGGTTGCTCCAAGCCCTGGCCAACCTTGTCTTGAACACTTCTAGTGTTGCGGCATCCACAGCTTCCCTGGGCAAGGGCCTCACCACCCTCATAGTGAAGAATTTCTTCCTAATTACTGAACTAGAATCCAGTATTTAGAGGTTAGATTAAGCAAATCTAAGACAAAGTTAATGCTGCGATAAGGAGTTTGTCTCCTTTAATCCAGCAGCAAGAGTTGCAGTTGCAGGCACACCACTTTCAGACACCAACAGCAAAAACTGTGTTCATTTTACATTGTTCTGTGAATGTGTTTTTGTGGCTTTTACAGCAGATTTTGGACATGATGGAGTCTAAAATAGTGTGTTGTATTACTTGAATGGCTTGCATATGCAGACATAGAATATCATCATCATGGCTAGGCTTCGCGAACGAAGATTTGGGAAAAGACATAGAATATGATATCCCAGGAAATGTTAGTCACACAAAAAGGTTAAATAGGATTTCAAATCACCAAGTTTCACATCCCATAAAGGACAGCCTAAATACAGTAAATTCAAACAGTTACATCTGAGTCATGCCCATAAATTATATATAAGCTGCAACACTTTCAGTTTTAAGCTATGTGAAATCTACCATGTCCTTTGGGGATTTTTTTCAGTGGTTAGCAGCTCTTAAAATGCATGTCTTCCTCATATCTTGAATTTATGTAGCTCTTATCCCAACTGCAGAACCCAAAAGAGCTTTTCCTGGAGGATTAGAGAGGCCTTTGTTTATGCAAAACATTTTCTACTTGTTGTATATAGTTGTAGTATTGTAGACTGGTTGTATAATTACAGTTTTTTAAAAGGGGGTTGGAAGTGATGTCCTAAAGCCAATTAGTTCCCATTTTAGCCCAAAACATCATCAACTCCACCGATGTAATTCCTGGAGATATCTGTTTAGTCTCTAGTTGCAACAGATGGTGATTCCAAAACCTTCATATGCAACGTGTTCTACTGTTTCACTATTCTCACTGCCAAAAAAAGGTTTTTCTCGTGCTTCATCTGAATTTCCTGAGCTGCAATCTCAGTCTGTTACTTCTTGTTTCACTCCTCACAGACATGAAGATGAGTTTATTCCACATTTCTTCTTAACTATTTGAAAGCTGCTATCATGTTTCCTTTCAACTTCTCTCCTATAGACAAGATCCATCTGAACTTTACATCATAAATTCATACTTCTAAGGGCTCCAAATCACTCTTACAGTGTATTCCCAAAACCTTTTAACATTTTATTTGAATACTGTGACTGTCAAGCCTCACAAGAGAGAATGCAGCAGCACTCAGAAGAATCTGGGAAGTTCCAGAGCATTCTTGAAGCTACTGTGGTTAGGGAAATCTAATCTTTATACTCTTCCTTATTACAATGATTATTCACTCAGTGCTTACATTCTGGGCATTTCCATCCTTCCTTCTCTCCTTATCTCAACATCCAGGCTTCATTCCTGAGGCCTGTTGGGTTCTCCACCACTTCCTTTTTGGCTCAACAGCTCTTTGCTCACTGTAGTGTTCTCAGAAATTCACAATTTAGCTAAAGAAGATTAGATTTTCTTGGAAATTGAAAAATAGTCCCTAGACTCATGTATGTACACCATACTCCTTCTCTTCCAAAGCCAAAAGCAAACAGCTAATGTTATAGACTGGATCATCTTACCACTTTCCTACTGGGGAATGACAAAAACATGATGCAAGACCGAAAGATTTGCTGCATAACAAAGAAAACCTTGCCTACCATATTTTTTCTGTAATATTGCAGTTAGTTCAGGCTTTATAAACATACACACAGAAACCAGAAAATTACCATTATTGTGATACTCACATTTTTAGCAGCCCTCAGTATACATGATCTTTGTTGGACTAGGCAATCTCCAGAGATCTCTTCCAACCACAATGTTTCTGTGATACAAAGGGATCACTGTACTTTTTTTTCACCTTAATGAATTGTTGATCCGACAGGTTGAACAAACGCTGCATTATAGACTGCATAAATAGCAGCGACAATCCACTAAAAGTTTTTTTATGCATTAAAAAAAAGCAAAACCAAATTTTTAAATTGCATAAAAATGTAAAACGCAAAGGTTCTCTCTATAAACAAATTAAATTCCAAATCAAATATACAAAAGATGATGACTGCCCTTGAAGACACAATATTATCTTTTTACTAAATGAATAATCCATAATCCATGGATAATGATGATTCGGTTTTATGAATGAAATTATTGTGTCATTTTACCGAAGAATAACACAAAACTGTCAGAATTTTAATGTCTTCAGAAGAAGACAAGAAATGACTTTAAAGTATGCATGAAAATGATTGTGTTATGAAAAGAAGCCATCAACCTCCTAATGGACTAATGCATACTGGAATGTAGTAAGGCACTTTGCTCAGTATTTACTTCCAGAGAAAACTCACATTGCCTCATTCTTCCCTAGTCCAGAATCCAATAGAACTACATACTTTATGCAGGACAGCATCTGAAGCACTTTGACAATTACCATTAGCCTGAAACACGTGGCTAAACTGAATAAAACAAGCCTTCATTTTACCTTTGGAAAAAGGCTAGTAAACAATGAACAAATTTCACATTTTCCCTACCTTAAATCATACGCTTCCCACTGCTGTAACAGGGTGTTTCCCACTGTAAGTAAGGATCAGGTTCATGACACCCGAGGAACCTGAATGTATAGAAGTCTTTGGGACCTGATGAGATGCATCCCAGAGTCCTGAGGGAATTGGCTGATGTGGTTGCCAGGCCACTGTCCATGATAGTTGAAAAATCCTGGCAGTCAGGTGAAGTCCCAAGTGATTGGCAAAAGGGAAACCTTGCATTCATCTTTAAAAAGGGTAGAAAGGAGGCCTCTGGCAACTAGAGACCTGTCAGCCTCACCTCTGAGCCTGGGAAGATCATGGAACAGATCCTCCTAGAAGCTCTGCTGAGGCACATGGAGAACAGGGAGGTGATTTGAGACAGCCAGCAAGGCTTCACCAAAGGCAAATCCTGCCTGACCAACCCAGTGGCCTTCTATGATCGGACGATACATGAATGGACAAGGGAAGGGCTACACATATCGTCTGTCTGGACTTCTGTACAGCCTTTGACATTCTTCTTTCTAAATTGGAGAGATCTGGATTTGATGGGTGGACTGTTATATGGATAAGAAATTGCTTGGACAGTTGCATCCAGAGGGTAGTGGTCCATGGCTCAGAGTCCTGATGGACATCAGTGATAGGTGTTGTCCCTCAGGGGTCCATACTGGGACCAGTGTTATTTAATATCTTCATCAATGACACAGACAAAGGAATCAAGTGCACCCTCAGTAGATTTGCAGATGACACCAAGCTGACTGGTGCACTTGATGCTCCAAAAGGATGGAATGCCATCCAGAGGGACCTGGCTAAGCTCTAGAAGTGGGCCCGTGTGAACCTTATGAGGTTTAACAAAGGCAAGTGGAAGGTGCTGCACCTGGATCGGGACAATGCCCGGTATCAATCCAGGCTGGGGGATGAATGGATCAAGAACAGCCCTCTGGAGAAGGACTTGGGGGTGCTGGTGGGTGAGAGGCTGGACACGAGCCATCGATGTGCACTCACAGCAGAGACCTGATTGTGGCCTTCCAGTGCCTGAAGGGAGCCGACAGGAAAGATGGAGAGGGACTAATTACAAGGCCAGGTAGTGATAGGATGAGTGATGACAAGGGGGAATGGTTTCAAACTGAAAAAGGGCAGGTTTACATTAGATACTAGGAGGAAATTTTTCCCTGTGAGGGTGGTGAGGCACTGGCAAGGGTTGCCCAGGGAAGCTGTGGATGCCCCATCCCTGGAAGTGTTCAAGGCCAGGTTGGGTGGGGCTCCAAGCAACCTGGCATAGTTAAAGGTGTCCCTGCCCATGGCAGGGGGC